GAGGTGGTGGTGGCCCCCACAGGACTTGAGGGTCAGTGCCCAGCTGTCGGTGGGAATATCCCCGCCGTCATTGTCACGGACCTGGGGGGCCCGGAGGAGGAGGTGGGTGCCGTGCCCCCCGGCAGCCTGCCCGTCCGGAAGCTGTCGTCGTCCTCAGCCTCTTCCACCCTGGGAGGAGTCCGAGGAGGACATCTCCAGTGACCCTGAGCGCACTATGGACCAGACACCAGCCTTCCTGCAGACCCTGGACCAGCAGAAGCCCCGAGTGGTGAGTCTTGCACCAGCGCCGGGGAGGTGGGGCGAGGGCTGGCAGCATCCCCGTTCCATGGCACAGCTGCAGTGGGAGGGCAGAGGTCTGTCACAGCCGAGGTCTGCAGAGAAACTTTCCATTTGCTTGGCGGTGCTCGCTTCCCCTCACGTGAAAAGTTTATCCCTGTTCCTAGTCTGAAAATCCCCTGCTCGCTGGAGGGAGCAGCGGTACCCGTCCCGCTGTGCACCATCCTTGCAGAGCTTCCCTGGCGCTGCAGGCTGCCCGCTGGCATGCTTAATGTACGCCCACGGACTGCAGCCTTCTGCTGACATGTGGTTACGAGCCTCAGCTTTCCCTCAGCACAGCTTCCCTGGGTGCTGGAGGTTTCCCATGATTTACATGAGCCTAAGGGAGAGTTTATTTCCTCCTTGGAGTCGAAACTGTGTGGGCCAACTGTCTGTTAAAATTTATACTGATGCCCGTCACCAAGCGTCTGTGTGCCTTTCACATGGAAGCAAAAATCTCTAGAATTTCTGGTAATTCCCCTTTTGAATAAAACTTTTTGCTTGTGGGGTACCTTGTATTTTAGGTAAGCATATTTTTGCTAGATGTTTATATTAAGTTCATTTGTTTCTGGATCTTTCTTTGTTGTGGGGCTGGTTGAGAGGCTTCAGGCGAGAGAAAGCATCAGTGTTATATTCTCTCACAATGTTGTAGTCTCATTCCCTGAGAGCAGAAATGTCTCCCTGGAGAGGAGGGCTTTGAGGTGCTCTCCAAAGGCAGACGCTCATGGGATTTCTTGCGTCACTCGAGGAGTTCATTCCATGTCTGAATGCTCCACACAGAGCAGGCTTTGCTCTGAGCTGTCACACCGTTTATCTGACGGGCTTTGAACCACTTTAGCCCAGTGCAGGGTGGCCATCACGAGGTTCTCCAACCAGCACGTGGGCTCTCCCATCCTCCGGCTGTGAGACGTTACGTTGATTTGAGCTCAGCACAGAAGCCTCACACTGACAAACTCTGAAAAAGGCAGGGCAACCCCGTGGCTCCTTAATTTTAAAGAGTTTGATAAAGGCCCATCAGCTTCCAGTGATGTGGTTCCCGATGTTTAACTTTGTGTAGACACATGATAGTGAACCTCTTGCTAAGCTCAATGACATGAGGAAGATCAGTGCAGGGAAACATCTAAGTAAAGTGAAGGTATCCAACTCATGAAGAACTGACAGACTGTGGCTTGTAAAACACTGGGCAGGCTGAAATAAATATCTTTGCTTTTCTACTTGTTTTGTCCTGTTCCAAGAGCTCAGGCTCAGTTCTGCTCAGGATGGAGAAGCAGTGAGTGAGTGAGTAAAAGCAGAGTTAATGAAGCTACGAGTCTGTGGCTCATCGTGTTTGCAGACAGCTTTGTATTTCGGGGCTCTCGACTGATGAATCAGCTTGCTCCCTTTGGGAGCTGCTACAATCCCTCTGCTGATTAAATTCTGCCAGTTTCGTGTGCATGAGCTGTAGTAATCTCTACTCTATTCTCCATACTAATGACTGTTTCTAGTGCCAGATCCCACTGATTTGCTGCTGAAAACAGTTCGCTGATGGGCAAAATCGTGCCTGATGCTCTTGTGAAAAGCTTCCTGGAGCCTCCAGCTGACACTGCACAGCCTCCCGTGGCCTCCGGTGAGCTCGGCCAGGCCGGTGGCTCGGCCAGCGAACAGGCAAGGTTCATTTGTGTTGCCAAAAGGCCTGGGTCAGAGCGAGCTCAGATCAGGTCTAAGATCAGAGTGTCTCTGCTGGGCTCAGTGGGACTACTCCAAGCTTAAACGAGATGAAGATCTGGTCCAAAATGTGTCAGGCAGCCTGAGGAGGTGCACTTGATTTTGTATTTCAGTGCTGGAGTCCTGTCAGCAGGAGCGGCTGGGCAAATTTACAACGATACTTTCCGCTGGGCTCCACAGGTCCCGTACAGGGCTGATCACTGGCTTTGGCACGTTGTAGTCAACTTCTCAGCAGGATCGTGCGCAAACACCCAGTAATTCAAAGCTGATTCATATAAATAATACCCAACTTTGTGTACCGGTTGGCAACATCTTTTAAATCCATAATGACAGCAGAAGGCAGCTACCGAAGCAGTCTCAGGTTGCACGCTCATTTGTTTTCATGAACTCACTATTTCCTTTTAACGATGCACACGATCTGGAAATGAGTTGTGTCATTACACGAGGGAGAACGTGCAAGGAGCTCTCTCCGCCACTCATGCTTTTCCGTCAAAATAAATCCCGGGAGACCTCGGCCGACAGAAACCAGCATGGTGCCTCTGAGTTGAGCAGATAAACGCCGGGCAGGCAGAGAGCCCTGCCTGTCTGCGCCGGGTGCTGCTGGCGCAGGGGAGGGCTGTTGCACCTGGAGGAGAGGCAATGACGAGCGATGGGAAAGCAGATCTTGATACAACCTTGATAAGCAGCGGGCTTGCTTCTGCCCTTCCTTTCTGGAGGCCGTCTGGCTTAGCAAATCTGCTAGGGATGTCCGGCTGTCTATTGTGGTTCCTCCTGGCGTCCCCGGGAAATGGGCACATCCCTCCGGCTGGCACAGACTCGTCCTCCATTTGTACTTCAGGTAGGAAAATTCATTGGCAGTCAGGCCCGCAAATTGGCCGGTAAGAAAATGACGTTGCCTAGTGAAAGGGAAGGAGGGAGTGTGGCAACTTTTTTGGGCACTGTGACCCGGAGCAGCTCGGTGGCCGATATGGGCTCTGCCTTTGTTTATTGAAACAGTTTACTCAGCGCATGGCCTCTCCCTGGGGTGCTCTGGTGCCCAGTGGGCTGCACAGCACGGGGACAAAGTGGTCCTGCCATGATTGTAGCAGACTTGTGAAGTGCAGCGACAGTAAGAGCAATTTGACATTTTGCTGTTGTCTAATGGCGAGTCCACTTAAGGTCTGAGTAAACCTCCACGTAAGGGTTTTTCGCAGCTGTAACTTTCCCCGGGCTGTGGGCTGCTGCCGGAGAAACCCCACTCTTGTTTATTGATGCTTGTGAGGTTCCGAAGACACTTGAGCGGTGGCACTTCTCGGGCTGTGTGGGAGGGAAAATATAAGCCTGTAAGTTTTGCTGCTCCTGGGAGACCCTGTATTGCTCTTCCCAAGGGACAGCTGATAAACCAAGGTCTGAGGCTTGGCCCCAGTCTTGGAAGCTGGCTGCACCCCTTAAACGAAAGATATTCCGATGCTGGTCATTACAGCGAGTGGCCCTCATTGGCCTCAATCCCCTAGTTTGTCAATTCCTCGGCAACTAGAGACAAAGCGACAGACAAGAAGGGGGAAAGGCTGAAATTGTGCAAGTACGTACTATAGAAAAATGACATGTCAAGGGGAAAAAACCCACCCTCCTGGAAAAACAGTGCAAGACACCACAGTGTTCCTCTTCCTGCCTTTCCCACAGCTGCTGTGGAAACGCAAGGACGTACGGCGGAATAGTAATCGAGCGACTTGGTACATTGTGAAACCTCTGCTCCTTTCACCGGGCAGAGCAGCTTGCTCGGAATAAGAGACTTCCATTAACCTGTGCAAAATGGCAAGAGCTTTTGGAAAAAGCTAATGGCATTGCTGCTGACAGGTGATTTTTTTAATTGATTTATTTGTTGGACTCACAACGGCTGTAACGCATTTCTGAAAGGAGCCAAGTTTGGATAGGGTTGGTGTCAGCCAAGGGCCTGTGGGACCCTTGCTTATTTCTCTTTGAGATGTTCCAAGATGTAAGTTGACAACAGGGCTCCTGATTTGTTCCTGTAAAAATCTGTCAAGTAAAATATGCTTTCTTTCCCTTTGCTAGCTGTCACTGTGATCAGGAAGTCTCCGTCTAACAGAAACCATGACCACATGGCTACGGTGATGCATGCAAGCCCCGTGAATGTATATCTTTATGCTGACTGTGTTTATGTATTTTACTACTTCCTCCCACCATGTTTGTTTTCCGAGCTCCTAAGCTTCTGAGCTTGTGAGTGGTATCCCCGATTTAGTATCAATGTAATGTCTAGCATATTAGGGCCTTGCTTCCTTGCTCTGAAGAGCAACTGTTACTCCAGTAATGCCTATTGTTGCCTAGGGAAGGTGCTTAACACACCGGGTAAGCTGCCAAAGGATGGAGCCTCCTTCAGCCCTGCTGTGGGAAGACTAGGAGGAAGAGGAGACTGAGATGGACACCTCTGTGTTTCCACTCTCAGAGCACGGTGCTCAGCAGAACTGACAGCACGGCATGTTTCATCTGCTGGGACGAGATCAGGACCCCCAGCTGCCCAGTGGGCTGGGCAGAGCTTCAGGCTCTTCGAAGATGGAGGCTGTGTGCTCCAGGGAGTCCACAAAGCACCATTCTTTATTCAGTAGCTTATCTTCTACCTACTCACGTGGCCTTCTCAGGGAATAAGCAGCTTTTTAATGGGCTCACACCCACGGAGGCTAAGTGAAGATGCTGCCATAACCCAATGGGAGACAAATGGTGCTATTTCAAGTCCCGTTTTCATCAGCACTTTTAAGCTCATTGGGAAGGGTTTCTTCTCTGCTCGCATTCTCCGTGATTGACAGTGCAGGAATTACATGGCACTTAGCAGATCCTTTTCATAGAGGGACTTACTTGCTGGCACAGCTGCTGTCTCTTGCATATTTTGTTTTTCAAACAATTTTACACTGAAAGAAAAAGTGGAAAAAGCCCAAAGCATTTCCAAAGTGCTGGAAGAACAAACATTAGGCCCATCATCCTTAGAGTCTCCAGCTCTGGAAACAAGCAGGTTTCCTCCCATCAGAAGGACGGGAATCAGAGGATGTCAGGAGCTTGGCTGGTTGGACCCTTCGGGTGTTAAGCCAAGTGTCCACAGAGTGAAGTTCCCAGATCAGCGGAAACTTTACAGTTTTCTCTTTACCTTTTTAAAGCCTTGCAATGACAAAAAAAAACAATCAAACCGTAGTCAGCACCTGTCTTATGTTTTCCATATTATTTCTATAATGTGTCAGGACAGATTTGCATGTGAAGAAA